ACTCATTTTTGGCAGCAACTGAACAATTTTTGACCTGACTGACACAACTTGACATGCTGAATGTTGGGCCCGGGTGTTGGTGGTGCTGGAATGACCTCTACAATGGATGACATGAACCTGATCCAGCAGGCTCAAAGGCATCACCTTGTAGTAAGAGAAATAGGCGAAGAAATCGACTTGGAAATTGGTCCAGGTGATGACGACCCATCGTTTGTCCACAGCTCGCTTCTCGATGTTCAAGCGCACGAACCCTCTGCAAAAGAACACGCAGAGAACAAGCTTCTGATCGGGTCTCAGCTCCCAGATGAAGATCAAGATTTGTCAAAGTCACAATCCGGGAAAAGGAAAAAGAAGGTCGTCAAGAGATGGAGGGAGGAGTGGGCCGACACGTATAAGTGGGCCTATGTGGACATGAAAGATGGGACCGCAAGGATATTTTGCTCCGTGTGTAGGGAGTATGGGAGGAAGCATAGGCGGAACCCGTATGGGAATGAAGGTAGTAGGAATATGCAGATGAGTGCTCTTGAAGAGCATAACAATAGCTTGCTTCATAAGGAGGCTCTTCGCCTTCAGCAGGCATCGAAAGAGAAGATAATTGTGGAAAAGCCGATTTATGTGAAAGGTGAGATGTATTATGTTTTGTTGATATATGCACTTTTGGCTCTGTTCATTTTTTATATGTACTACTTAACGTGAGATTTTGTTTTCGAGTTAGCATGTTTGATTCTCTGTGATATGCTTTGCAAGCTTATAGTAACATCCTCTCTGTTTGTGTGTGTGTATGCATGAGAGAGAGAGAGAGGGAGAAATGGAAGCTTTTGTGGCATAATTTGGGTTCTTTGGTATGTGTATGTGACCTGTCATGTTAATGACTTTATTAGAGTGTTTATGCTTATGTGGTAATTGGTGTCCATATTAATTTTTATCTAATATATGCTAAAAATAAGGAGAAGGCGAAATTCCCGAAATATTTATTCAACCAAATCAATTTGTAAGCTGGAGCATTGACTGATTTCATTTTCATGTATCATTTTTTGTGATTCGTGATGTGATTTACAAAATTACATTTGGCACTTATATGCTACGTTTGATCCTTAGAACAGCTCTTATGTCAAAAACGGCTGGATCGATTGTTGAAGCTGCATTGAGAAGAGATCCCCATGAAGCGGAGTTCATACAGTTTGTTCAAGAAGTGGTTCACTCTCTGGAAAGAGTAATTTCAAAAAATTCCAAGTGGGTAGCTCATTGTTTCATTGTTCATTTCATCGCTTATTGGAAAAAAAAAAAAAACACTTGTATCCTTTTATGGTTATATTAACATCATGAGATATATGCCTCTCTGTAGCTCGGTAAATACCATGGAACGTTTGTTAGAACCCGAACGTACTATCATTTTCCGAGTTCCGTGGGTGGATGATAGGGGTGAGACACATGTCAATCGTGGGATTCGTATTCATTTTAATCAGACACTCGGTCCATGCAGAGGTGGTTTGCGTTTTCACCCATCAATGAACTTGAGCATTGCCAAATTTCTTAGTTTTGAACAGGTTCATGTTCTTACATTTAAAAGTTTAGATTTTAGTTTTGAATGCTTTATCTTGTTTTGTGGGCATGAGTAGCCTTTTGAGTTCTAAAGTGTTCCATTCTGTTTCTTGTTTAATGTATCATTAGATCTTTAGGGTGTGTTTGTATATAAAATAATCCGATCCATATTCGATCCATACTCAAAATCTTATTCAACTTTAACCCAACTCCACTATCCTCAGTATTATC